CACAAGAGACATGAGACAGAGACAAGAGACAAGAGACAAGAGACAAGAGACATGAGACAAGAGACAAGAGACAGAGACACAGAGACAGAGACAGAGACAGAGACAAGAGACAGAGACATAGACAAGAGACAGAGACAAGAGACAGAGACAAGAGACAAGAGACAGAGACAGAGACAAGGACAGAGACAGGACACAAGAGACAGAGACAAGAGAAGAGACAAGAGACAGACACAGAGACAGAGACAAGAGACAGAGACAGAGACAGAGACAAGAGACAAGAGACAGAGACAGAGACAGAGACAGAGACAGAGACAAGAGACAAGAGACAGAGACAAGAGACAGGACACAAGAGACAAGAGACAAGAGACAGAGACAGAACAGACAGAGACAGAGACAAGAGACAAGAGACAAGACATGAGACAGAGACAGAGACAAGAGACAAGAGACAGAGACAAGAGACAAGAGACAGAGACAAGAGACAAGAGACAAGAGACAGAGACAGAGACAGAGAAAGAGACAGAGACAGGAGAGACAGAGACAGAGACAGAGACAGAGACAGAGACAATGAGACAAGAGACAAGAGACAGAGACAAGAGACAGGACACAAGAGACATGAGACAAGAGACAAGAGACAGAGACAGAGACAAGAGACAGGACACAAGAGACAGAGACAAAGACAAGAGACAGAGACAAGAGACAGAGACAAGAGACAAGAGACAGAGACAGAGACAGAGACAGAGACAGAGACAGAGACAGAGACAGAGAACAGAGACAAGAGACATGAGACAGAGAAAGAGACAAGAGACAGACACAAGAGACAGAGACAAGAGACAAGAGACAAGAGACAAGAGACAGGAGACAAGAGACAAGAGACAAGAGAAGAGACAAGAGACAGAGACAAGAGACAGGACACAGAGACATGAGACAGAGACAAGAGACAGAGACAAGAGACAGGACACAAGAGACAAGAGACAGTGACAGTGACAGAGACGGAGACAGACAGATAGAGACAGAGAATAAGAGAGAGGGAGAATTTAAAACCTTGAGCCTACATGAAAAACAACATCCTTACTCTGTTTGCATGCAGAAAGCAAGCCTTTATGTATCCCTCATCACACACACATCCTTCTCCCTCTTCACATCTGCTATGATCTGGGCAATTCAGCATTGAGGAACAAAATCTGGCTGTCACTGAAATGGAGAGTGGAATTTGTATCAATATAAATAATGTGTATTGTATATGAGAGAGAGAGAGAGAGAGAGAGAGAGAGAGAGAGAGAGAGAGAGAGAGAGGAGAGAGAGAGAGAGGAGAGATGAGAGAGAGAGAGAGTAGAGAGAGAGAGAGAGAGGCAGAGAGAGAGAGAGGAGTGTGTGTGTGTGTGTGTTGTGTGTGGTGTGTGTGTGTGTGTTGTGTGTGTGTGTGTGTGTGTGTGTGTGTGTGTGTGTGTGTGTGTGTGTGTGTGTGAGTGTTGTGTGTGTGTGTGTGTGTATGTGTGTGTGTGTCGTGTGTATGTGTGTGTGTGTGTGGTGTGTGTGTGTGTGTGTGTGTGTGTGTGTGTTGTTGTGTGTGTTGTGTGTGTGTGTGTGTGTGTGTGTGTGTGTGTGTGTGTGTGTGTTTGTTGTTTTGTGTGTGTTTGTGTGTGTGTTTGTGTGTGTTTGTGTGTGTGTTGTGTGTGTTGTGTTTGTGTGTGTGGTGTGTGGTGTGTGTGTGTGGTGTGTGTGTGTGTGGGTGTGTGTGTGTGTGTGTGTGTGTGTGTGATGTGTGTGTGTGTGTGTGTGTGTTGTGTGTGTGTGTGTGTGTGTGTGTGTGTTGTGTGTGTGTTGTGTGTGTGGTGGTGTGTGTGTGTGTGTGATGTGTGTGTGTGTGTTGTGTGTGTGTGTGTGGTGTGTGTGTGTGTGTGTGTGTGTGTGTGTGTTGGTGTGTGGTGTGTGTGTGTGTGGTGTGTGTGTGTGTGTGTGTGTGTGTGTGTGGTGTTGTGTGTGTGTGGTGTGTGGTGTGTGTGGTGTGTGTGGTGTGTGTTGTGTGTGTGGTGTGTGTGTGTGTGTGTGGTGTGTGTGTGTGTGTGTGTGTGTGTGTGTGTGTGTGTGTGTGTGTGTGTGTGTGTGTGTGTGTGTGTGTGTGTGTGTGTGTGTGTGCTGTGTGTGTGTGTTGTGGTGTGTGTGTGTGTGTGTGTGTGTGATTGTGGGGGGTGGAATGTTTGTTTGTGTGTATGTTTGTATGTTTGTATGTGTGTATGTGTGTATGTGTTATGTGTGTATGTGCGCGTGCGTGTGCGTGTGCGTGTGCGCATGCGTGTGCGCGTGCGTGTGCCATGGGCATGTGCGTGAGTGGGTGTGTGTTTTTAAAAATAAATTTGTTATGAATACTACTTTTTTCTCTTTTTGATTCATATACTTAAAATAAATAAAATACTATACACTGTTAATCTAAAATATATTTTTTTTTAAATGTATATTATAACACTCTGAACTTACACATTATAAGCGGATCACATTCTGGAGCCAGAGAACTTTCACTGTACTGAATAGAGCTACAATTGCACCACCCATCTCTGCAGCGTTCTTCACCAAAATATTTATTACAGTCACTATTAAGTGTGCATTTCTGGCCAATATCTGTTTCTGTGAAAGAAAAGACCAACAATCATAAGAGAAAAATTTAAGTAAGAACCATTATATTTAATCCACTTGCTTTGGGTTTATATACTGTCCACTGTAGCTTCTTGTGAATTTTGTTGCACAAAGATGTCTTCAAAAGGTCTCTGGCACCATGGAGTCAATCAGGAGACCCTGGTGACTGTGGCTGATTTCCCGATTCCTCAATTATATAGGAAAATATTTTTCAAGTACTTTCTGAAAAGCTTGAAATAAGGTAGACAAGCAAGATCCATAAGACTGATAACTGGCTCCTTAGTGACTAAGTACTTGTGGAGCCATCTCAGCACTATTCAGAACCTCAAAAATTAAGATGGCTTTTCCTAACAGAATTCTAACAGTTGTTGATGATATGAAACAGTTTGTTATAATTAACAAGATAATTTTACTTCTGGTGATTACAACATTTGATAAATTATACAGATAAATATTCACCTAGATATGTAAGGCATCTCATAGCGCAGCCTCAGTGGCTAAAAGAGATGACATTAGCTCTGCCCCTTTTTGCTCCTTTCAATCTTTGCAATCCATCATAAATGTTTCCTCAATATATTTTCTCTAAAAATTGTTCAAAAATGACAATGGTATATAAATACGTGAAAAAGAGAGCAAACAGAGATTATATAGAAATCCTATTGATATATGCAATGAATGGTTGCAATGAGGGCAGGGCTTACCATTGAAGCAGAGTGTTGCTACCTGTCTAATAAGTACCTTGGTAACAACAGACTCATAAACAACTGAGTAATCATGAAGAATTCACCCTTGAATATAGAAGACATAAGGATGTAATGCCTGTATCTGTTATGGGAAGGGGATCAAGCCAATCTTCCATCAGTTATTTTCCTATTCTTTAATTTGATTAGGTTACATTTTGTATTCATTTAAATAACATCAATAATTTTCAAGGTACCAGATAATTATTTGTTATGATATTTTTCTTTTTAAAATTTGTATATCTTTTTTTAGAATAATTACATTGTAATTCTATTCAACTGCTGGTTAATTTTTACAGTATGGATGCACCAAGTTAGGGCAAACTGATTATGATATTCTTGTAAAGGATAAAATGTTGCAGTTGTCTGTACAAGGAATAATCTGCAGACATGACCAGTAACACGACAAATGAAGGTAACAGATCTCGAAAAGTGCCACTCTCAGCGTGAGTCCTCTCGCTGCTCCCGAGTTTTAACTCCATCTTGCTGTGCATACAAGATGAACACAATGCTTCCTGGGGGCTGGAAGGTTACGCTCAGTAATGGCAACTCGGACTGATTAATAAATTTGGAACATGGAGTTGGGGACTGTCTTTGGCAGGTGCATCCATACTGTAAAGAATTACCCAACTGCTGTTTATGACAATGCTCATAGAATACCTGTAAGATCAACCTTCCAGTAATTCGAGTAATATATAAAATTAATAATTAAAATCATTGCAGATATAATAAAAGCAAAGAAAAGAACACCTATGTGACAGACTGCACATCATGTCAAGGAAGAGCTTGGATTGTCACTTACTTGCAGGATTTATCCAAAACCCAACAATTAGTAGAAGTAGGACCTGGTTTCTTGCAAATCCTATCTGCTCTGAGGAACCCATTACCGCTGTAGATTCTGAAGGATTGATGGAATGGTAATTAAGGATCGGACACTGCTAATAAGACGTCCCAATGAGTGCTTGTTACTTGCTACTCTGTATGGAAAATATGTCATGAAAATGAGTACAAGCTGTCATGGGTTTGGTACGTCATTTTAGTTCCCGAAGTTTTGTCGTTTCTTTTAATGACACATCCGGCTTCTAATTTTAATAAATGTACTTTCTAAAGATATCTATGACTACTACATGTCTGGCTCTAGTAAAATAACCCGTTAATGAAGGTATAAATCATAAGCAAAATCTCCTACCGACCTCTTACTCTGCCCAAAAACTATAAATATATCCTTGACTTTTAAGTTTTAACCAAAGTCGCTCTGTCCCCACACTGGTGTCGTCTATCTAGTATTCATTTGTTACTATTAGGTTGAATCACTTTACCTATATATATCAGAAATTAATTTTGGTTACGAACATGATCGGAAAAGTAGGAAGAAAAGGTACATCATAATCTGGGAGGTAAATGGAAGAGCCACTGTATGGGAATAAAACATCTGGTAGTGTGTAATTCTCGTCTGCTTAGGAGCGCGGGAAGTTTAAAGCGGTAAAGAAAAAAAAAGTTTTGACCCATTTAGTCAAGGTGTAACAAGGTTTTATCATTTATTTTTCTACACAGGGCAGTTACGTGGGGTGGGGGGCAGTTACTGATAAGCTGAGAAATTAGGAGAAACGGGAAACCCAATGAATTAAT